GGCGTGGCGATGCGGCGTTGGTGGGGCGCGGCGAGGCGTGGCGGGGCGCGGCGGCGAGGGCGCGGTGGGGCGCGGCTGCCGTTCCATTTAAAGGAAAACGATTCAATTTCAAGCTCCCTTGCCTCTGCCTTCGAGATATCGTTTGCAGCCGCCGCCACCACCCCCGCCGCCGCCGCAGCATCAACCCCCTCCCCTCCCCTCCATGACCCGCTGCTCGGACACTACAGCGAGCAATTCGTCATGTGCGCCACGCCAAGCCACGCCACCGGTCGAGCCTCGCACAGCACTTCTCATACATTCGGACGGCGCGCGATTTCCATTTCGAGTCGTAATTATCTCCATATCAAAGACCGCCGCTGCCGCCGCTGAGCCGACCGCCGGATTTCTCATCATCCGCCACAGCCGGCGCCGCGCCGGGGCCCGCCGCGCGCCAATGGAGGGCGAAATAATTCGGAAATCAGTTCTCCTGTCCTGATGCGGAGGGGGGGCTCGGCGGCGGGGGAGAGCGGGGAGGGGGCTTAACTTTTGAATTCCCTGTGCCGCGCAGCCAGCCACCGCCTTGCGCCCTCGCTCCTCCTGAGTGATCACGGTCCTCTAGGCTATTAGCCTCCTCCATCCGCCTCCAGCGGAGCCCGGCGGGCTGCTTCCTCACAGCCTCGAGGCGGATGGCGGGGTATATTTTTATTTCAGTGATTCGTGTTGATCCCCTCCTCCTCCTCCTTTTCGTCCTCCTCCTCCTCGTTCTCCTCCGCCTGGCGCCGTGATTGGGGCCCTCGAGCCGAGCACGCCAGTGCCTTGCAGAGCCTTGTACACGGGCCGCCGGGGCCGAGCCGAGCAGAGAGGACCCGTGATTACGTGGCTCATTGCCTGCTTGAGCGATAAAGGAACGTTTGGGGGTGAGAAACAGGAGCCCATCACGGAGGGACGGAGGGGAGGGGAAAGGAGAGCAGGCGGCAGAGAGAGAGAGAGAGAGAGAGAGAGAGAGAGAGAGAGAGAGAGAGAGAGAGAGATAGGAAAGGGAAAGGAGAGCAAGACGACGGCTTGCAGAGGGGGTGGGGCGGCGGACCCGACAACGTAAACCACCGGACCCGAACCGAGTACTAGAGAGGACTTTCGGGAGATCAAAATGTTTAACAGCAAGGTGGTGGAAGGGAGAGTTTGGGGCGAATGGCTAATCGATTCTGATGACAAGTAGTGAGGACCAAGCCAGATGTAGGAAAGGGGCTACCAGGAAGGACGCCGCGCCGACCACAGAGAAAGTCACCCGTGGGGTGGGGACGATATGTCGAGCAAAACGACGAATTTGTCTCGGAATGCGGTCACACTGGGGAGGATGGGGAAAGATTATGAATTATAATGCGAAAATGACTAACATATGATGAGTGACGTGACGACCAGGACCAGGATGTCGGCCGAGGAGATGACGATACCCCGACGGACGACGGGAACCGGAGCAAAGAAACAAGACATTATTTGGGAGCAAACACTTGCTAATTACCTCCTGACGAGCGAGCAGGGGAACGGGGACGGCAGTCGGCACGGTCACGGCTGTAATGAATGTGTTCCCGAAACACCGATACGTCGCGTCGGGGCGGGGCGGGCCGCGCGGCGGGGTTACTGATGGGGGTCGGAGGTCGCTTCGGCGAAACGGAAACGGTCGCACGCTAATGTGACGTCGTCGTCGTGTCGCGGGGAACCATGTATGGTGCGACCGACCGCGACCCTGATGAGGAGGGCGAGGACGCGACGCCATGCGCGGGGTGGCGGTGGCGGGCGGCCGCGAACCGCTTTGTTTCGGCGCCGGGGTTTGTTGCACTTGGGGAAGGGGAGCGGGAGCAAGGCGAGGAGGGCGAGCGGCAGCAGTGGCAGCGGCGTCGCTTCTGATCAGGTGGGCACGGCAGTGAGGGGTGGTCTCGGATCCCCCTCTCTCTCTCTCTCTGCGTGTCCCCTTTGGGGAGCTCCTTGCAGCCCCTCCTCGCCGAGGCCCTGGGCCTGGCCAGGGAGGCCATTTGCTCACCCGGGCGTGCGGCGCGACCCTGGCGGCGGCATCGAGTCCCCGACCATTATCGGGCGTCTTCACTCTTTCGCCCCGCCCCGTCCCGCCCGCCCCCACCTGCCAACGACCCTTACACTGTCCCCTGGCGTCGGCTCGCGCGCGTCCTCCGGTGTCCTGCTCCCTCCCACCACCACCACCAACGGTGGCACCTCCAGCAGGGCTGTAGGCAATTAGGATGCTCATACGCTCGTTGGCTCGTCCACCCCGCGGACCAGCCCACCCCGCCCCGCCCCGCCACGCCGCGTCACGCCTACTGGACGCGCGATAAAAATATTCACGTCCAGATAATCAATCACACTGGTGCTGGTCCGGCTGGTGGCGGACCCTCTCCCTTCCCCTCCTCTCCCGTGAAACACGACGCCCGCCCCGCGCCCACCCGGCCGAGGGGGCCCCGCGCGCCCCGGCCGCCCGGCGCGGTGGTGCGATCGACGACGACGACGACGCTGCCATACACCGCCGCGGGGCGCCGCGACGGACGCGTGAGGGGCAAGGCACGGCAAGGCCCGTCCCGGGGCAGATTACATAACGAGTCCATCCATCTCAGCGGCCCCAGCAGCAGCAGCAGCGCCGTGACGAGGCCGCCGCCGGCGCCCGCCCGCCCCGCGGCCACCACCGGCCATGTCCGCGGCCGGCGCGGCTCGGGTGGCGAGGCTCTAATAAGGGGGCCGAATCCATTACCGGCGTCAATCTCGACGACGACAACGCCCCGCCACGCCCGGACTCCTGCTCCTGCACGCGCCAATTCGCGCCGCACAGGGGGCGTCAAAACGAGTCGCAATACCTCGCGCAATACGGTGCGGGGAACTGATCGAAGCCTTAAAATCCGAAAGGACCATCGCTTTTGCTCACAGAGTCAGTATGTGAACTATTCAGATTAAGAGGCGAAGCACAAGGAAAGACGTTTTGAATTATATGTTGTTATTTTTTTTAAATTCGTCATACTGGTTCACAAGAAAAGTCGCATTTATCGCTGGAAATTAACACGTTTGGAGCGTAAAATTCTTATACACTCATTCAGCTAATAAAAAATAATTGAGATAACAAAGGACATATCAATTAGAAAACAGTTATCTAAAATCTGTACCGTAGGTTTACAAAGATTGTGCAAACTCACGTCAAGCATTCCAGGTTGCATTACATAGCGAACAGTCGTATCAATAAAATAATCAGCGTCACACATCATCGATGTGCGACCACATGCCGTCAGACCCATGGTCTTTTGGGGACGGACACTCCCCTTTGGGATGCGCAAAGACACCCCTGTACTTGAAAGGGTGCTGGGGACCTTCGAGGCAGTCCCGGCCGCACGACTCGCAGACGCCGACGTGGGTACGAGTTGCGTGGAGGACGAACTGCACCTCCGCATTAAGCAGGTGGTGCACCTCCACATGTAGCGAAGGGTTTGCAGACAGAAGCGCCGCAACTCTCTCGTTCCGGAGGCACATAAACTTGCGGAACTTGCTATGGAAGTGGGCGTGAATTTGGAAGCTCTGCAGCGACGGTGCGGTGGCGGGGGTGATGAGGCGCAGCAGCTCCTCTGACGGCGTGTTCACCTGGAGCCGCCGCAGGCCCGGCAGCAGCTGTGGCAGCGCCTGAAGGAGCACGGGCTGCACATACTCAAATGTTAACCCGATCTCCACGAACAGCGATTTAAGTTGGGACGGCGCCGACGAGGTCAGGGCCAGAATCAGATTTTCGGTGATTCTCGTGTCTTCGTGTTCAGCACCGAGCAGATGGACGGAGCGCAGCCGCCCGGCGGCGCTGCGGAGGAGCTGCACTGCTCCTGAGCTGGTATAGCCTGAATATGGAACGACGACTAGTTTGAGCTCCGTCAGCGACCCGCAAGCTGCCGCGCCCTCGAGCCCGAGCATCGCGGGGCAGCTCAGCCTGCGCAGCTGGGGTATGCGCGCCAGCAGGTGGGCCGGCAGTCCTGGTGCGGGCAAGACATTTGGGGGGCTGATTTGCACGTCCAGTTCCTCTAGCGTGGCGGCGTGCGCAGCGAGCACGTACCTGAAGAAGTACTCCGTCTGGGAGGTGAAGGTGCAATAGAATGTCTTCAGGGACGGTGTGACGGTGGCGCGCTTTGGAACGGCTCTCTCTGGCGACTTCAAGTAAGCAATGTGCCCAACGACAGTGAGCCGCTCCAAGCCGGACGTCGACGCCAACGTCCTCAACAGCATGGCAGTGTCGTTCGCTTCCTTGATTGTACTGGGAGACACGTTGCAGCTCACAGACACACAGCTCAGCTGGCCGTGCTTCTTCTGCTGTCTGAGGAGCTGAGCGGCTTGCTGGGCGCCCTTTGGCTCCACATAGAAATTGAACTCCCTCACGGCGCACGCGGAGGGTAGAGGTCGGCGACATGTCGAGCTGAGGTGAAGGTTGAGGCTGAGCTTGTCCACGCGCGGCGCCAGCCGCAGCACCGGACACGCGCAGCCCGACGCGCTACGAAGTGCTACGCGCCGACGCTGCCACACGTCCGCGTACAGGGCAACGTCGGCGAGCCTCTTGCACGACAAGCGGCAGGCGAGTACCTCCTCAACGCTGAGGTAAGACATCACTGAGACCAGCACGTCAGCCGGCAGTTGATCCATGATCTGTAGGGACACGATCACATTCGATTAGCGAGCGACGACAACAAGTTGTACACGCCCTGGCTGTTTCGACACTTGTTAAACAAACGCAAAAGTTGCACACCAATCAATGTGCTTTTCAAATGTGTCAACTTTGCACATTTCTGGCATCGAATATAACTCAACATCACGAAGTGTGCAGACTTCGCGCACTTTTCAAACGTGAACACGTTGGAAACTAAGTGGGGTATTGGGTGTGCTGGGTGTGTTCAATATTTGAACATGTTGGTGCACCATTAGTGAAAAGCACATTTATAGTGTGCAAAATTGCACACTTGTTTTACCATGGTACAATGGTACTAAAGTGGAAAATCGATGGTATACCAGGTGGCTGATTAATACCGTGCTCGCAATTCGCACAAGGGAGCATTTTTGCCTAACAACCATGACCATGACGCCATAAGGGTAGCCAATCGGCCTACATATACTGTTGGAAATTTTATCGTGATTTGACGAAAAATGTCAGATTCATTCATCTACACGCTCTTCGTAATTTTAAAGTAACGAACACATTCGGAAATTACGAACAATTCGGTTGTTCTACTGAGAGTACTATCCCGGACAATAGAATTTTGAATCAAACTCTAACCCTCTGATGAATTCAAACCATTAAAATGTGATTTTACGAATAAGTTGATTTTATACCACAAATTAGAGAATTCCTCTGGAGTCTAACCAAACACATACCGAAGTGTGCGGCACTTTAATCAGACGCTTGGAGCAAAGTGTTTGGCAATTTCACATTTGAAATGACCTCAGCCCCCACCCCCAACAGCATTAGCCAACCAAGGGAAACACCATTTCCGCGTCCCCCCCCCTCCCCCCTTTCTCTCTCTCTCTGGATCCGCCATTTTCGCTCCGCCCGCCCCGCGAGATACCCTGTAATGGCGTGGCCTGGGCCAGGCCCCGGCCGGGCCCGGAGCGAGTCGCGTGTTAAGTGGACTATTAGGCGGGCCAGAGCGCGCTGCAATTTCCGCCACGCCACGCCCCGCCACGCCCGGTTGAGGGCAAAATGGAAGTCGCCGCTCGCTATGCTGGTGGAACACCCCGGCGGCCCCACCCCACCACCGCCGGGGCCCAACTCCGGCCCATATTCCCGGGCGGGGCGGGGTGGGGGCGAGGAGGGAGCGCTCACGGGGCTCACCTTGGACCAGGGAATAATACAGAACCGGCAGGGTGGGCGGGCGCTCGACGCACTTTGTCATCTCCGCCCCACGGACCATTTCCAGCGGCCGCATCCAGAGAGAGAGAGAGAGGGGGGGGGGGTAGCTGCGGCCCCGAGGTGCGACCTGCGACCTCGCGACGACTTTCCCCGCAATCACACAAAATGCGAGGGGCGAATATTTTCACCCCGCGATTTCACGCATGTTTACTGATTGGGATAAATTTTTGAACCATTTATTTATGAAAAAAATTTGAATCCGAGCTATGACAGATTGTGACAAAATTTATTATCTTTTGAGCACTAGTTTACTAAACGACAAGGACCCAACAAACATGTGCTTGGCCAGACCCCCGACCCGAACACGGTTAAAACAAGTACGAGACGATTCGGGTTTCAAGATCAGCAAATTTCGGAATTCCTGTGAGTCGATCGCTTGAATGTTTTGCAAAAGCGTCAGTCTTCCTATCTAGAACAGCCGTATCTACGGCGAGCGAACCGTCGCCTGCATGACCGGCCCCTCCCTCCCATCCCCACTGCAACTTCTCATAGCTTCAGTAACTCGACAACTCGTCGCCTCGCGTCCTCGCAGTGCGTTTTGCGACGAGTTTACAAAAACTATACTTGCGTTGTTTTTATTATGATTCGAATCCTCCCGCCCGGCTGCACATAACACGTCGCCAAATCAAGGCCTCTCCACAGAGGAGAGCGCGGAGCGCGGCGGGAGGAGAGAGAGCAGCGGTACACTCCATTTCAAAACTTTTTTATTGGGCCGCGGCGGCGGTGCCGTGAAGTGTGATTGCTTTGGCCGCCGCGGCTTTATCGCCGTGGCGTGAGAGAGCGAGAGGGAGAGTGGGAGGCGGAGAGCGAGAGAGAGAGAGAGAGTGAACGAGGCGCTAGATTATTGCGAGGAGCGGCTCGAGCGAAATAACGACGCGTGGATCTGGATTTGAGATACACAGCTTGACATGCGATTAATTCAATTTTATGTGTGTGGTCCGCACCACACGGTGTGGTGGTGTGCGGGGGCAGCGGAGGCCACACAAACGAGGTGAGAAAGGGGGACAGAGAGAGAGAGAGAGAGAGAGAGAGAGAGAGAGAGAGAGAGAGAGAGAGAGCAGGCGAGATGGAGGCCCCGCTGCGCTCCGCTGGAATGGTACATGATGATTCCCCGCGGTCCACACGGCCATGGCGGAACAAAAATAAGAAAAGTTTGTAATTTTGTGGCGAGGGGCGAGTAATAAGCGGAGAACAGAACGGGCGGGACGGGGCTGGGCAGGAGGGGCGGCCATCACCAAAACGGGAATTACGAAAAGAAAAAAAACGTAAAAAGACGGGACTTCCACCGCCTGCTCCTCCCTTATTTTTCTCGCCCTTTTTTTGAGGAAATATGCTATAGAAACGGAAATTGGAGTGCTTGCATGGTGTAAAATCTGTGGAGGAAAAGCCTAATGACGCCGCGGTATTGGTGAAACATGAAAGCTTCTTTCATAATCCTTTTGAGGGTCGATGCTTGACCGTTATTTTAATTACAATAAAAATTAAATTGTAAATATACTGAACTATTGCCTGTATTGAGGTCAAGTCATCCGAAAAGTGCGTCTTTCATCTGCTAAGTTTAGCCACAGCGCCTGTTAGGTAGGCAACATCTCGCCTGCAGTGCATCCGTGTTCTGCGGGCTGGCCTACCCCGAGTCTCGCAGGCGCCGAGCTCTAGTAATTTGCCGAATGAATCCGAAAAACGGGCATGAGACGTGAAACGGATAGGTATTTTTAGGCGATTCCTGTGACGAACAAGTCTTTGTTCTCAGTGCGCAGTGTGAAACCCATTTTCAGTGTCAGCGTCGACAAACTTCGGGTACACACACGGTAAAAACAAGCCCTGGGAATCCCAGGAGTTTTTTCCGTTTCCCAGGGGAGTTGGAAGAGTCCCAGGAGATCTCCTGGAAATGTCTAATTTTTCCCAGGAGTTGCCCTGGGATTAGGGCAGCCCTGGGAGATATAATGCTATTTCCAGGGCATCCCCTGGAAAATGTTCCGCGGCCGACACGACGAGCGGC